GAGTTTGTCCTCACTAGCACGAAGAAATGAGTCTGTTCTTGAGGCACGAAAACGACCTTCCTTCTAATCAAATAGCTGCAGTCATCCCAGAAGTGTGCAAGATTTGTTCTAATTTAATCCAATTTAATCCATGCTGATCAAGCTTTGCATTTTAAATCCGCGCTGACAAGTTGTTACCTAATGGCTCCACCGATAAAGCAACAACCCCAGATAGGTTACTCTTACTACTGATGGAGTGAAAAGATGCATGAGCCCTAATCGAGAACATGTGAAGGTCGTTGAAGCAAAACTCCGAAACTTAAAAGCCGCTGGAAAGGGATAGTTGTGCTATGCGCCTTTTCATCGACACGTCCATGTGCTAGTCATGGAAATCGCGTGATCAGCTGCGTGGTCCCTGCACGATTGCATATAAACTGTGGTCGCGTTGGGAAGAAATGCAACCTGTTTTTTATTGGTTCTAATTGCTTAGATCGTTTGAGTATCGTATTTCTTTGCATGTGTTGGTGCATACGCAATTGCAGCCGCATTTCTTGCTGGCACGGAGCCAACAATGCCGGCGGAGCAGTTATTTCGGACAGCTCGTCCGGCCACACCCCCTCCTTGGTTAGAGCAAGTGGGGGAGTCTTTGTTTGGAGGTTCTCATCCCCGGTTCTGTTTTTTTTTTCACTTTCAGTCGACTCGGCACCCACAATTTTATTACCGGCCGCTTTTACCCCACCAATTCGATCTGGGGTTTTGCTTTTAATTATGGATTCATAATCACCACACGAGCTATGTGTGACCCTTTTGAGTAGGTTCCACTAAAAATTGGTGGATACGAAGATGTGGCACCAAAAATTTATCTCATATTCTTGATCAAGGTACTTGATATTCTCGTGGCAAAGTTCCAGAAAAAATCGTTACAAAAACCTACTCATCTTATTAACGATTTTTGGAGTGAATTCTCTATCCTGCATGACTCCGCCACCAATTTTTCATTTTTTTTCAGGTTTTTGAGTATCAATATCCCGAAAAAATGTGGGCAGAGCCAGGGGATTTCTCATCGCTCTTGAGCAATGGCAATGATTCGATTTTCATTCTTCTACCTAGACCTAGAGCCGATGGAAACAGCTACCAACACATTTCCAAACTTCTCTTCCAGGTAGATTTGCTTTACGACTGGATTATTTTGAGCGAATAGCTTTTCTTCAGCATGATTCGTCGACAAACCTAAAAATGGCCAAGTCATCATTCCTATCAGTTGGCAATTTCGATGTGGTAGCATTGGAACGTTACGACAGATCGACGGATACCGTGTGGTAAGAGCATCTCATTGCATTGAGCAATTCCTCCTTATGGTAATACTTACAGTTATTTCACTGCACTCGCTCCCTCACCTGGAAATCGTCACCTTTACTCGACAAAAGGATCGCCGGTAAGTGACTGAAGGGATGGTGAACTGTCGGTGTGAAGCTGAGTTAGGACGAGCAGTGTTGCGGGTATACTTTCTACGCGCGCTGACGGTAAGCCGACAGACGCCGCTTGCGAGTCTGCTGCACAAAAATTTGTCCACGACTGCTTTGAATGCATTCCTACGCTGAACTGTGGGTCAAGGACGCGATTGACGGTGAAAGAAGGGTGTCCCCAACAGGCGGCGAAGGAAGAGACGCAGACGCGGCAAAGGACGAGTCGCAGCGCGTGCTGTGCGATATGAGACGTAGTATGGTACACTCTATTTAACCTGACGCCTAACCGCTACAGTATGCGCTGCGACTCGTCCTTTGCCGCGTCTGTGCGTCTCTTCCTTCGCCGCGCGATGGGCCTCTTGGGGACACCCTGTAAAAAGGGAGCCATCTGGGAAGCATATGCACACATAAAGCAGGTACTTGGCTGCCAATGAGGCGAAGTGTGGCGCTTTCGTAACGAAATTTGCGCCGGTTGCTGAGCAGAACTTCGAGAGATCGCCCCCAAAAGCGATCCGCCCACCAGTTTACTTGTTGATTTGGACGAGCTGCGTGGCTAGCAGCGGCGCAAATGGAGCATCTCGATTAAGCGTGATTTGGCAATGGTGCCATCAAACGCGTTGCGGTGAACTCGTTCATAACTCCACTTTCTGAGCTGCTACCTGTTGATGATTGAAAACCAACGGCCAAAAAGGGTCCCGTTTTGCGTTTTCTCGACGGATTTTTCCGCTTTTTTTCGCCACTGGCGTAGAGCAGCCACGGTCTACAATAAGCCCTTCTTGAATTTTTCGTCACCGCTGCCTTCAATCAGCAGTTCAAACAAAACAATAATAGAATGAGGAAGTTATTTCTGGGTCATCATACTTGCGATCGTGCTGCGAATGCTAGATATAGGGCTGTATTAGAATCAAGGACCCGCTCTCCCTGTAGTCCCAAGACGGGGTTCCATAGATCCTCAATCGTCTTGGTGTAGACGCGCGAACAAACCGGCGCACCGCCGTCCATGGCCTCAAAATGGTATCAAGTGGCGCCAGCGCCAAAAAATGAGTGTCAGAATTGGAATCGTGATGCCCCTATACGAAAGCTAACACCAATTTCAGTGAAACAAGGCGTGGCATCAACGAGGGCACGCGTCGGCGGCGAAAATGTCATATTCGTAATCAGGGTACATAACCTCCCCTTCAAAAAGCGAGAAAGTGTCGGGTGCAGACCAAACACCACAACTGACGACGGCCTCCAAGTAAATCTGGTTAGAAGTTGTTCATAGTGATAGCTGATTTCTGGTAAATGATAGTTGTAATTAGTGACAATCGATAGAATACAACTGCAACAGGCTAATCATTTCATTGGCAGAAACATTAACACCAAAATTTTTTTTTTTTTTTGTGAAGGCCTTCGTCACTTGTGGTGCATGTTCTGCACCCGACACTTTCTCGCTTTTTGAAGAAGAGGGTTCATAGTACCGAAGGAAGAAGTTCCAACAAAATTTTTTTGAGATTCACCTCAAGATATATGTTTTTAGGCGATTGACAACGCCTGGACATGTGTTACTTGCAAGCACGATAACTGCACTTATCAGAGCAATTACATCTCTCCTGAGCTCAATTATATTCTCACCCAATGCAGAGTAAGTGTTAATAATATTCCGTATGGGAATTACTCTAAAATTATGGGAAAAGCGGAAGTGGTGTAGTGGCAAGTGGCACGCTTACCACGCGAGCGGTCCGGGGATCAAATCCTGGGTCGTGAGTCGCCCGGGCCAACCAAGCCTTCCATCCCTCCGGGGTCGGTTAATTGGTACCAGACTTGTCTGGGAGGATAAAAACACTGACTTGTACATCGGCTGGCCCCGCAAGTCATTGTATAGGCCACATCGCATTCAAACGCCACTACGAATGTACAAATGGAAGTAGAATGCGTGCCGCATCCCAACGGGAATGCTTTCGTTTATCTTTTTTTATGGGAAATTACTCGAGTAGGACATTTTCACGTTTGCGCGTTACTTCTGCTTTACCACAGGTTTTGCTGTGTATGGTATAGAATTGTTTATGTTCCCAGGTGACTGACTAGCCGACTGACATTCATGGTAACCGTTTGTTTGTACAAGCACCGACGAGAGGCTGGTGTTGGCAATTTTGGGAGGGGGGTCGTATTGTGGAAGTTTAAGGGGTCGTGGATGCGAGAGATGGGACGTTTCAGAAGTTTTTTTTTCGAGGTTTTCGGGAAGGTTTTAAAAAGGAAACATGAAATGAATTGGTCAAAGTCTGAGAATTTGTCACCTCATTACTTCCTTCAACGAATTTACCCCCCCCCCCTGCTCGATAGCCGTTACGGATGTACTGACTGTTCTCACAGTCGGAACAAATAACAGAGGAACAGCCATGGAGGTGAGGGTGGTGCCTAGGGCGAGGGGGAGGACGTATGGGAGACCCTGCAAAGGCTGCTGGTTGTGCCATCGAGGTTCCCTGAGGAGGGAGAGGTCGTAAAATCTTGAAAAAATACCACCGCTAGGGTTGTCCCTGCTGGCACTGCTCACTGAACAGTCATTTAGGTAGGAATAGTGTGCTCGTCTATGATAATCGCTCACAAGGTCCCATCAAGGTCGCGAAAATGTTCCGAACAGGCGCCCCTCCTTGAAACAAGGGTTGCTACACACAACCTTTGTTCACAGGACGGCACATGAAGAGAT